AGTCCAAAAAATATTTTATATGAATTTGACCAAATAACATATAATGACCACAAAATGTATAATGATAGATATATATACTGTATATGTTATTATGTTATACTGTGTTTAAAATAAACCCCCAAATTAAATGTCACAGAATTGCCTAAAAAATCAAAGGTTATTTCTCAAAACGTAGACATTTTTGACAGAAATGAAACAATCTAAATGACGAATTTGCAAAACATGTATTTATTTATTGTTTGATTTGTGCAGAGAATATGAGTCATCGCCTGCCGCTATTGGGCTGCTGTTTCTCTGTGTGGGAACGAGGACGGAAGATGACGACGATGTTCACCAGGTGGGTCACAGTTGTAAATCTCCCTTGGTTCACACCATCTGCAGGCGTTATGCTCAAGTCCCTAATGTCGTTGTTGTTGTTGTTGTTTATTCTGGCTCAGAGCTCATCGAAACACTTTTTCCTGAAACTGAACATTGGCAAGAAGATTAAAAAGCGCCGCTCGACGCTGCCTCTTTCTTCGGCTTCACGCACAGCCTGTTGTTGTTGTCCACGACGCAGAGTCTGGTTGGATCTGACAACGAACCGTCTCGAAACCTGTGAGTTGAAAACGTTTTTTTGTAATAGTTGTATATTTTCTGCTAAAGATAAAAAACTAGTTAATGTAATGACGTGTCAAAAATCTCACAAAAACCTTGCTTTACTGCGACCTATACCAACAAGAACATCGTATTTAAAATTGTACTTAAATTTTTTAATTCTAAAAAAAAAATTCAAAAAATATTATTTAAAATCAGAACAATTTGTGTTAAAACCATCAAAAATATTTTGTATGAATATTTCAAAAATCACCCAAAACACGCCTTACTATAGCCTTACCATCGTGAAAAAATCCGTAAAAATAAAAAGTCCCCGAAATGCCTTAAAATGCAAGATTAGGTCCTAAAACATGCTGCCAAGTGAATATTTTGTGTTTTAAAGTCCAAAAATATTTTATATGAATATTTCAAAAATCACCCAAAACACGCCTTACTATAGCCTTACCATCGTGAAAAAATCCAAAAAAATAAAAAGTCCCCGAAATGCACTAAAATGCAAGATTATGTCCTAAAACATGCTGCCAAGTGAATATTTTGTGTTTAAAAGTCCAAAAAATATTTTATATGAATATTTCAAAAATCACCCAAAACATGCCTTACTATAGCCTTACCATCGTGAAAAAATCCAAAAAAATAAAAAGTCCCCGAAATGCACTAAAATGCAAGATTATGTCCTAAAACATGCTGCCAAGTGAATATTTTGTGTTTAAAAGTCCAAAAAATATTTTATATGAATATTTCAAAAATCACCCAAAACATGCCTTACTATAGCCTTACCATCGTGAAAA